GAGGGGGCGTGTTGACGGTCATCGGTTTTCTACCAGTATTGGTAACCGTGACCGGTTCAATCCGAACCACCTGCTCAGCTTATTATTTACGACGTAGTTCTTACGATAATTATCCATAGTTGGTCAGACGAGTAAGATGACGAGAAGCTTCACATAATTTACATGTACACTGTTAATTTCTGAAGAGCACTGGACGAGAGAACGAAGCTTGAAGAACGCTGAAGAAGTCTGCACTGCGAAGTGTATACGACTTGTGCTGAAGAAGGAATATTTGGAAGTGAATTTATTTGTGGGTTTTGTTAAAGCTACCTGATCTATCTCTGCACTGATTTATATGTTGTCCACATATAAATCATGAATCATAAATCATGTAGGTCATCCAATCATCCTATGCGTCTAATCATTGGTAAAAACTCACCGTAATTACGCGGGATCGACTTGGACAGGTTTACGGTTCCCATGGTAGCTGATAGCAGTACCTCAACCGTCAACCCACAATAACATTCCAGACATGCTCTTGGTCGTTGAAAGTTCGCATTTCAGCGAAACAGCAAACGCCACTCGATCATAGTCACAGTTGCTGTTGCCGTTGTAGCCTTGCCACTGAACTTGATTCGCTCCGCGTCCACGTGCATTGCCGCCGCGTCGAGCTCCCCGATTGTCTTCCTTCTGCTTGGTCCAGCACTTTTCCACCGTGTGCCCCAATTTTCCGCAGAACGTACACTGACGAACCTCACGCTCGGTACTGAAGGCCTTGGTCGCTTCTTCAGTTTTCACCGATGTCGTCTTTTTCCCTTGTCTCTTGATGTGCTCATTCGTCAGCACTTTCACGACGTCTTGCGTCCGCAGTTCCGCGCTGCTCATCTCCAAGTTCAGCACGACGTTCTCGTAGCTCTTGGGGAGGCTGCACAACAAGCAGATCGCCACGTCCTCATCCTCCATCTTGGCGCCGATGCTGCTGAGCTTGGCGCTGATGTTGAGAACTTCATTGCAATGATGCATCACATTGCTGCCTTCCGCCATCTCCATGCTGAACAGCTGCCGCTTCAAGAAGATCCGTCCCGCCTTCTGCGATCCGCCGTAGAGAGTCTTCAACCGTGTCCACGCAACCCATGCCTCGTCGCAGTCATCAACCACGTGATGATAGTCCGCGCTCATGTGAAGTAACATCAAGCCGAACGCAATGTTGTTCGTCTTGACGTACTCATCACTGGCGCGAGGATCGGCGAAGGTGGGGATGGTCTCCCGGTTTACCACGTGCCACGTCGACTTGGTCAGGAACACGCCACGCATGTAGCGGCTCCACGTCGCGTAGTTGTCTCCATCGAATCTATCGATAGAGATCTTGGTGGCGGAATCTTGAGCAGAGGACATCGTGCTTGGGCTCATAACCTGTTAAAGTCTGAAGAGCACTGGACGAGAGAACGAAGCTTGAAAAACGCTGAAGAAGTCTGCACTGCGAAGTGTAGACGACTTGTGCTGAAGAAGGAATGTTTGGAAGTGAATTTATTTGTGGGTTTTGTTAAAGCTACCTGATCTATCTCTGCACTGATTTATATGTTGTCCACATATAAATCATAAATCATAAATCATGTAGGTCATCCAATCATCCTATGCGTCTAATCATTGGTAAAAACTCACCGTAATTACGCGGGATCGACTTGGACAGGTTTACGGTTCCCATGGTAGCTGATAACAGTACCTCAACCGTCAACCCACAATAAGGGCTTTCGCCAAAAGTATGGCATCGACTACACGGAGACATTTTCGCTCGTGGTCAAACATGTGACACTGCCAATGGTGATCGCAATTTCCAAGCACTTTGGATGGCTCATCGACCAGCACGATGTGGTGACGGCTTTCCTGTATAGCTTCATGAAGGAACAAGTGCTCTGTGTGATTCCTGAAGGCGTTGAGCTTGATAGTAAGTTCGACTGCCTGGAATTGGTGAAGTCAATTTGCGGCCTCAAGCAAGCGTCGCGAGTGTGGAATGCGACATTCGACGAGTTTGTGTACTCCATTGGATTTCAAGTATCGGACTTCGACCCATGTCTCTACATCAATACTTTGGTTGGCCATCGTGTGTTTGTACTGGTCTACGTGGACGACGTTTTAATGACTGGAAGCTCGCTTGAGCTGATTGCACGAACCAAGAACGACCTGAAGACACGTTTCGAGATGACAGACAGCGGCAAGTGTGCATTTGCTCTTGGGATTGAGATTCTGGACGGTGAAGACGGCAGTGTGTCTATGTGTCAGCGCCGTTATGTCAATGATATCCTCAAGTGCTTTGGAATGGAGGAGTGCAAGGCTGTGGCGAGTCCTGTGGATGTCAGCTCTCGACTGATGTCAAGCAACAGTGCGAGCAAGATCGATGTTCCATTCCGTGAAGCTGTTGGTGCTTTGATGCATCTGACGACTACAACAAGACCGGACATCGCCTATGCTGTGAGCTTTGTGTCGCGCTTCACGGAAAATCCCCAAGAAGAACACTGGGTTGCGGTCAAGCGCTTCTTTCGATACCTGGAGAATCCCCAAGACGAATAATGGGTTGCGGTCAAGCTCATTATTTGATACCTACAAGGCGCCAAGATGCATGGAATTTGCTACAAGCCAAGTGTGAAGATCGACTTTCGTGGCTATTCGGACGCAGACTGGGCCGCCGACCTTTCTGATCACAAGTCAACGTCTGGCTACGTCTTCATACTATTGGGTGCTCCAGTGAGTTGGTCCAGCAAGAAGCAGCCAAGTGTGTCACTGTCTGCAATTGAAGCGGAGTACATTGCGCTTGAGTCTGGCGATTCAAGAAGGCAAGTGGATCCACTGCTTACTATGCGAGATCATGGCGGCTACTAACGAGGACAGACCCGAGCTCATGATCCGTGAAGACGAATAGCCTTGCATCAAATGACCTAGAATCCAGTCAATCACGGCCGCGTCATACACATTGATATCAAGTACCACCACACTCGCGGTGAAGTGAAGCTTAAATACTGCAAAACGACGGTGATGATGGCCGACATTATGACCAAGGGACTTCACCGACCGCGCCACATGGAATTAACGGCGGCGCTAGGCATCTGTCCGCGTTCGGATTGAGGGGGCGTGTTGACGGTCATCGGTTTTCTACCAGTATTGGTAACCGTGACCGGTTCAATCCGAACCACCTGCTCAGCTTATTATTTACGACGTAGTTCTTACGATAATTATCCATAGTTGGTCAGACGAGTAAGATGACGAGAAGCTTCACATAATTTACATGTACACTGTTAATTTCTGAAGAGCACTGGACGAGAGAACGAAGCTTGAAGAACGCTGAAGAAGTCTGCACTGCGAAGTGTATACGACTTGTGCTGAAGAAGGAATATTTGGAAGTGAATTTATTTGTGGGTTTTGTTAAAGCTACCTGATCTATCTCTGCACTGATTTATATGTTGTCCACATATAAATCATGAATCATAAATCATGTAGGTCATCCAATCATCCTATGCGTCTAATCATTGGTAAAAACTCACCGTAATTACGCGGGATCGACTTGGACAGGTTTACGGTTCCCATGGTAGCTGATAGCAGTACCTCAACCGTCAACCCACAATAACATTCCAGACATGCTCTTGGTCGTTGAAAGTTCGCATTTCAGCGAAACAGCAAACGCCACTCGATCATAGTCACAGTTGCTGTTGCCGTTGTAGCCTTGCCACTGAACTTGATTCGCTCCGCGTCCACGTGCATTGCCGCCGCGTCGAGCTCCCCGATTGTCTTCCTTCTGCTTGGTCCAGCACTTTTCCACCGTGTGCCCCAATTTTCCGCAGAACGTACACTGACGAACCTCACGCTCGGTACTGAAGGCCTTGGTCGCTTCTTCAGTTTTCACCGATGTCGTCTTTTTCCCTTGTCTCTTGATGTGCTCATTCGTCAGCACTTTCACGACGTCTTGCGTCCGCAGTTCCGCGCTGCTCATCTCCAAGTTCAGCACGACGTTCTCGTAGCTCTTGGGGAGGCTGCACAACAAGCAGATCGCCACGTCCTCATCCTCCATCTTGGCGCCGATGCTGCTGAGCTTGGCGCTGATGTTGAGAACTTCATTGCAATGATGCATCACATTGCCGCCTTCCGCCATCTCCATGCTGAACAGCTGCCGCTTCAAGAAGATCCGTCCCGCCTTCTGCGATCCGCCGTAGAGAGTCTTCAACCGTGTCCACGCAACCCATGCCTCGTCGCAGTCATCAACCACGTGATGATAGTCCGCGCTCATGTTGTTGAAAAGACAGCGGCTGTGAAGAAGACACCTCGTCAAGCTGCGTCAAGTGTTGAAGCAAGTGGAAGACCAAGCTTCGCTATACCGGTGGGTACCGGTATGTACCAGTAAGGGCGAAGTCAGGAAATGACGTCACTGGATGACGTCATTGCATGACGTCAGTGGGTGACGTCAGTGGGTGACGTCACTGGATGACGTCACTGCGAATAATAGGCTTAGAGGTAGTATTCAAAGTTGCGAACTAAGTATCTATTATAAATATATATTCACTTTGCGTTTTGCACTCGGACCAAGAAGTCTAAAGTTCATCAGGTTATGAGCCCAAGTTCGTCAGACTCTGAAACCGCCAACAATTCAAGCTTAGCTGCCATGGACGCCTCCTCCCTCCGCATCTCCAAGTTCGATGGAACTAACTTCCACGCCTGGAAGTTCAAGATGCAGATGGTGCTGGAGGAACGGGACCTATGGGAGGTCGTCAGCGGTGAGATCAAGGCGGAACAGTGCGAGACTCAGTTGGACCAAGCGACGTACAAGAGGAAGTCAAGAAAGGCGATGGCAGTGATCTGTCTAGCCATGGAAGATTCCCAGCTACCGTTGGTCCGGTCGGCAAGTGGTGCATGCGACGCATGGTCAAGGTTGGAAGACCACTTCGAGAAGAAGAGTCTTGCCAACAAGCTGTTCTTGCGCCGTCGCTTCTTCACGACAATGATGGAAGAAGGCGACGATGTACTCGAACACATCAACAAGCTCAAGACGCTGGCGGAACAGCTAGAAGCGGTGGGGGCTCCAGTCTGCGAGGACGATCTGGTGATCACACTCCTCGGCAGCCTGAGTGACTCGTATCAATTCTTGATCACAGCTTTGGAGTCGCGCTCAGACACTCTTAGCTGGGAGCTCGTGACGTCTCGACTGCTTCATGAAGAAATGAAGCGGAAGGAGCAAGGAAGTAAAGGTGATGAAGCTTCGCAAGGTCAAGCGTTCATCACAAGGGATAATCAGCGCAAAGGGCGACCAGTGAAGAAGTCCTGGCCGTGCCACAATTGCGGAAAGATTGGTCACTGGATGGCGGAGTGCCCCTCGCGCATCCAAGAAAACACGGAGAGACACCGGCCACAGCGTGCTCAAGACAGCGGCGACCGCTATCGATCACAACGTGCAAACGTCGCTCAAGAAGAAGACTCGGGCGACTACCTCTTTTCGATCGGTGAAACGACATCTGCGAAATCGAGCGACATCTGGCTGGTCGACTCCGGGGCGACGCAGCACATGACGTGCTCCAAGAAGTTCATGCGGAACTACAAGGGGTTTGACGCTGTGGATGTCCATCTCGCGGATGATGGAATCGTCCAAGCAATCGGCAGTGGGGACATTGTCATGTCGATGAAGACACCCCAAGGGATGAAGAAAGGTGTGCTCACAAACGTGTGGCACATCCCAAAGTTATCCAGAAACCTGTTCTCGGTCGGCCGCTTCACCAAGGATGTCGGCCCAGTGACGTTCACGAAGGATGGGTGCTATGGAGAAGCGAAAGGGACCAAGTGGAAAATTGGTGCCCGTGAAGGTAAAGGACTGTTCAAGCTGCAAATGACTCCAGTGGCGCCGGAACAAGCAAATGCAGCCAAGTCGTCGGGATGTCAAGGGGGCACCAAGTCGTACCTCTGGCACCTTCGGCTTGGCCACATAGGTCACGATGGACTCAATTGCATCGTGACGAAGAACATTGGAATTGGCATCGACATATCTTCGGTGAAGAAGTGGGACGTGTGTGAAGGTTGTGCTCTGGGAAAACAGACTCGAGTGCGCTTCCAATCAAACACTACAGCTCGCACCTCCAAACTCCTCGAAGTGATTCACAGCGACGTATGCGGACCGATGTCGATGGCAACTTTCAGTGGAAAACGGTACTTCGTGACATTCATTGATGACAAGTCAAGATACTGTGTCGTCTATCTGCTCAAGAGCAAATCTGAAGTTGCGGCGAAGTTCATGGAATACGCTGCGATGGCCGAAACGCAAACCGGAAAGCGCGTGAAGTACCTTCAAAGCGACAATGGGGGTGAATACAAGTCCGACAAGCTGGCACGATTCTGCGCGGAACGGGGAATACAACAAAGGTTCACACCCCCATATACTCCTCAGCTAAACGGAGTAGCTGAGAGAATGAATCGCACGCTGGTCGAGTGTGCGCGTTGCATGATGGAACACGCTGGACTGGGAAAGAGCTACTGGGGTGAAGCAGTGATGACGGCGATGTTTCTTCGAAACCGCTGTCCAACACGTGCCATTCACCAAGACAAGTCTCCATATCAAGTGTGGACGGTGAAGAAACCGATTCTGGCCAACCTTAAAGTGTTTGGATGCCACGCGTATGTTCAAGTGCCTCAAGACAAACGCGCGAAGTTCGACTCCAAGTCATCACTCTGTCGTTTCCTGGGATACGCCGAACACCAGTGTTGAAAAGACAGCGGCTGTGAAGAAGACACCTCGTCAAGCTGCGTCAAGTGTTGAAGCAAGTGGAAGACCAAGCTTCGCTATACCGGTGGGTACCGGTATGTACCAGTAAGGGCGAAGTCAGGAAATGACGTCATTGCATGACGTCAGTGGGTGACGTCAGTGGGTGACGTCACTGGATGACGTCACTGCGAATAATAGGCTTAGAGGTAGTATTCAAAGTTGCGAACTAAGTACCTATTATAAATATATATTCACTTTGCGTTTTGCACTCGGACCAAGAAGTCTAAAGTTCATCAGGTTATGAGCCCAAGTTCGTCAGACTCTGAAACCGCCAACAATTCAAGCTTAGCTGCCATGGACGCCTCCTCCCTCCGCATCTCCAAGTTCGATGGAACTAACTTCCACGCCTGGAAGTTCAAGATGCAGATGGTGCTGGAGGAACGGGACCTATGGGAGGTCGTCAGCGGTGAGATCAAGGCGGAACAGTGCGAGACTCAGTTGGACCAAGCGACGTACAAGAGGAAGTCAAGAAAGGCGATGGCAGTGATCTGTCTAGCCATGGAAGATTCCCAGCTACCGTTGGTCCGGTCGGCAAGTGGTGCATGCGACGCATGGTCAAGGTTGGAAGACCACTTCGAGAAGAAGAGTCTTGCCAACAAGCTGTTCTTGCGCCGTCGCTTCTTCACGACAATGATGGAAGAAGGCGACGATGTGCTCGAACACATCAACAAGCTCAAGACGCTGGCGGAACAGCTAGAAGCGGTGGGGGCTCCAGTCTGCGAGGACGATCTGGTGATCACACTCCTCGGCAGCCTGAGTGACTCGTATCAATTCTTGATCACAGCTTTGGAGTCGCGCTCAGACACTCTTAGCTGGGAGCTCGTGACGTCTCGACTGCTTCATGAAGAAATGAAGCGGAAGGAGCAAGGAATTAAAGGTGATGAAGCTTCGCAAGGTCAAGCGTTCATCACAAGGGACAATCAGCGCAAAGGGCGACCAGTGAAGAAGTCCTGGCCGTGCCACAATTGCGGAAAGATTGGTCACTGGATGGCGGAGTGCCCCTCGCGCATCCAAGAAAACACGGAGAGACACCGGCCACAGCGTGCTCAAGACAGCGGCGACCGCTATCGATCACAACGTGCAAACGTCGCTCAAGAAGAAGACTCGGGCGACTACCTCTTTTCGATCGGTGAAACGACATCTGCGAAATCGAGCGACATCTGGCTGGTCGACTCCGGGGCGACGCAGCACATGACGTGCTCCAAGAAGTTCATGCGGAACTACAAGGGGTTTGACGCTGTGGATGTCCATCTCGCGGATGATGGAATCGTCCAAGCAATCGGCAGTGGGGACATTGTCATGTCGATGAAGACACCCCAAGGGATGAAGAAAGGTGTGCTCACAAACGTGTGGCACATCCCAAAGTTATCCAGAAACCTGTTCTCGGTCGGCCGCTTCACCAAGGATGTCGGCCCAGTGACGTTCACGAAGGATGGGTGCTATGGAGAAGCGAAAGGGACCAAGTGGAAAATTGGTGCCCGTGAAGGTAAAGGACTGTTCAAGCTGCAAATGACTCCAGTGGCGCCGGAACAAGCAAATGCAGCCAAGTCGTCGGGATGTCAAGGGGGCACCAAGTTGTACCTCTGGCACCTTCGACTTGGCCACATAGGTCACGATGGACTCAATTGCATCGTGACGAAGAACATTGGAATTGGCATCGACATATCTTCGGTGAAGAAGTGGGACGTGTGTGAAGGTTGTGCTCTGGGAAAACAGACTCGAGTGCGCTTCCAATCAAACACTACAGCTCGCACCTCCAAACTCCTCGAAGTGATTCACAGCGACGTATGCGGACCGATGTCGATGGCAACTTTCAGTGGAAAACGGTACTTCGTGACATTCATCGATGACAAGTCAAGATACTGTGTCGTCTATCTGCTCAAGAGCAAATCTGAAGTTGCGGCGAAGTTCATGGAATACGCTGCGATGGCCGAAACGCAAACCGGAAAGCGCGTGAAGTACCTTCAAAGCGACAATGGGGGTGAATACAAGTCCGACAAGCTGGCACGATTCTGCGCGGAACGGGGAATACAACAAAGGTTCACACCCCCATATACTCCTCAGCTAAACGGAGTAGCTGAGAGAATGAATCGCACGCTGGTCGAGTGTGCGCGTTGCATGATGGAACACGCTGGACTGGGAAAGAGCTACTGGGGTGAAGCAGTGATGACGGCGATGTTTCTTCGAAACCGCTGTCCAACACGTGCCATTCACCAAGACAAGTCTCCATATCAAGTGTGGACGGTGAAGAAACCGATTCTGGCCAACCTTAAAGTGTTTGGATGCCACGCGTATGTTCAAGTGCCTCAAGACAAACGCGCGAAGTTCGACTCCAAGTCATCACTCTGTCGTTTCCTGGGATACGCCGAACACCAGAAGTCATATCGATTTGAGGAAGTGTCAACAGGAGCGATCAAGATCAGTCGCGATGCCACATTCATGGAAGACAAGTTTGATGAAGGTCCGCGCAACTACAACGATGAGTCAAGTGTCGTTGAGTTTGATGATCATGATGAGGACGAAGAAAAAAAAAGAAGGTAAAACTGACGACGACATGGACTCGAGCGACGATGACAACGAAGACACCAGGTCTTCGAAGAGCAACATCAAGAGACACACGCGCACTCAATCACTTGAGAAAGCTACCGTCATTCCAAGTCCCAAGCGAAGAACATACAGAGGTCCGTCGCTTGAGCATGTGTCAGCGGCTGCAATGGATTTTGAAGCAGCCTACATCGTTGATTCAGTGGGGGAAACGCCGACTACATTCAAGTCGGCGATGGAATCAAGCGACTCCGGCAAGTGGAAAGAAGCGTGTGACTCGGAGTTCGATTCGCTTCAGAGAAACGACACGTGGGAAATCGTGCCTCTTCCGAAAGGTCGCAAGGCCATCGGGTGCCGATGGGTTTTTCGTGTAAAGGAGAATCAAGATGGCGAAGTTGAACGTTTCAAGGCAAGACTTGTGGCCAAAGGATTCTCACAGAAATTCGGAGTTGACTATGAAGAAACTTTCGCACCGGTGGCCAAGTTCACATCGATTCGTGTGGTGCTCAGTATGGCGGCTAAGTACGGCCTAATGCTACATCAGATGGACGTCAAGACAGCGTTTCTTAACGGCTCCCTCAACGAAGACATCTACATGGACCAGCCGGACGGATACCTGGATGCAACACAGCCGGACTATGTGTGCAAGCTAAAGAGATCACTCTACGGCTTGAAGCAATCGCCTCGCATGTGGAACCAAACAATCGATGGGTTCATGATCAAGATGGGATTCAAGAAGTGCGAATCGGACCACTGCATCTACATCAAGCGAGACGACCAAGACATGATTCTCGTGGTGCTCTACGTCGATGATCTCATCCTGGCCAGCAGCAACAACGAACTCCTCAAGTCGACCAAGATGGCGCTGAGCAAACGCTTCGAAATGACGGATCTCGGTGAGCTCGATTACTTTCTCGGCATGGAGATCAAGAACGACCGTAAGACGGGAATGGTGACTGTACAACAAACCAAGTTTCTCAAGTCCGTGTTAACCAAGTTCGGAATGGATAACAGCAAGCCAGTGAAGACGCCTCAAGATCCCGGCCTGAAGCTAACCAAGAACATGTGTGAACAAGAATGCAAGCACGAAGACACCATGTGCAACGTGCCATATCGAAGTGCTGTCGGAGGCATCATGTATCTCATGGTCGCCACACGTCCGGATCTAGCTGCTGCAGTGGGATCATTATCCCAGTTCTCGTCCGACCCATGCCCGACTCACTGGCAAGCTTTGAAGCGTGTGCTGAGATACCTGCAAGCAACGCCCAATCATGGTCTTGAGTTTACACGTGAAGAAGGAAGCCGTATCTGCGGGTACACCGACGCAGACTGGGCCGGCGACATTGAGTCAAGACGAAGTACAAGCGGCTATGTGTTCATGATGAGCGGAGGATGCATCAGCTGGAAAAGCCAGAAACAACGGACGGTCGCGCTATCTTCAACAGAAGCAGAATACATGGCGCTTTCCGAAGCAAACAAAGAAGCAGTATGGCTCAAAGTGCTTTTGGGGGAACTTGGTGAGATGACAAGCGACGAAGCGATCAAGATGTATGAAGACAACCAAGGATCAATCGCTCTCGCCAAGAACCCGGAGTTCCATAAGAGAACAAAACACATCGACATACGCTACCATTTTGTGCGTGAGAAGGTGGAATCAGGTGAAGTCGTTTTGGAGTATTGCCCGACTCAAGATATGCTGGCAGACATGATGACCAAGCCGATCGCCGCTGTACAATTTGAAAACATTCGCGATCGACTTGGGATCCAAGGTGCCGCAGCTAACGAGTCGAGAGGGAGTGTTGAAAAGACAGCGGCTGTGAAGAAGACACCTCGTCAAGCTGCGTCAAGTGTTGAAGCAAGTGGAAGACCAAGCTTCGCTATACCGGTGGGTACCGGTATGTACCAGTAAGGGCGAAGTCAGGAAATGACGTCACTGGATGACGTCATTGCATGACGTCAGTGGGTGACGTCAGTGGGTGACGTCACTGGATGACGTCACTGCGAATAATAGGCTTAGAGGTAGTATTCAAAGTTGCGAACTAAGTACCTATTATAAATATATATTCACTTTGCGTTTTGCACTCGGACCAAGAAGTCTAAAGTTCATCAACCAGAAGTCATATCGATTTGAGGAAGTGTCAACAGGAGCGATCAAGATCAGTCGCGATGCCACATTCATGGAAGACAAGTTTGATGAAGGTCCGCGCAACTACAACGATGAGTCAAGTGTCGTTGAGTTTGATGATCATGATGAGGACGAAGAAAAAGAAGAAGGTAAAACTGACGACGACATGGACTCGAGCGACGATGACAACGAAGACACCAGGTCTTCGAAGAGCAACATCAAGAGACACACGCGCACTCAATCACTTGAGAAAGCTACCGTCATTCCAAGTCCCAAGCGAAGAACATACAGAGGTCCGTCGCTTGAGCATGTGTCAGCGGCTGCAATGGATTTTGAAGCAGCCTACATCGTTGATTCAGTGGGGGAAACGCCGACTACATTCAAGTCGGCGATGGAATCAAGCGACTCCGGCAAGTGGAAAGAAGCGTGTGACTCGGAGTTCGACTCGCTTCAGAGAAACGACACGTGGGAAATCGTGCCTCTTCCGAAAGGTCGCAAGGCCATCGGGTGCCGATGGGTTTTTCGTGTAAAGGAGAATCAAGATGGCGAAGTTGAACGTTTCAAGGCAAGACTTGTGGCCAAAGGATTCTCACAGAAATTCGGAGTTGACTATGAAGAAACTTTCGCACCGGTGGCCAAGTTCACATCGATTCGTGTGGTGCTCAGTATGGCGGCTAAGTACGGCCTAATGCTACATCAGATGGACGTCAAGACAGCGTTTCTTAACGGCTCCCTCAACGAAGACATCTACATGGACCAGCCGGACGGATACCTGGATGCAACACAGCCGGACTATGTGTGCAAGCTAAAGAGATCACTCTACGGCTTGAAGCAATCGCCTCGCATGTGGAACCAAACAATCGATGGGTTCATGATCAAGATGGGATTCAAGAAGTGCGAATCGGACCACTGCATCTACATCAAGCGAGACGACCAAGACATGATTCTCGTGGTACTCTACGTCGATGATCTCATCCTGGCCAGCAGCAACAACGAACTCCTCAAGTCAACCAAGATGGCGCTGAGCAAACGCTTCGAAATGACGGATCTCGGTGAGCTCGATTACTTTCTCGGCATGGAGATCAAGAACGACCGTAAGACGGGAATGGTGACTGTACAACAAACCAAGTTTCTCAAGTCCGTGTTAACCAAGTTCGGAATGGATAACAGCAAGCCAGTGAAGACGCCTCAAGATCCCGGCCTGAAGCTAACCAAGAACATGTGTGAACAAGAATGCAAGCACGAAGACACCATGTGCAACGTGCCATATCGAAGTGCTGTCGGAGGCATCATGTATCTCATGGTCGCCACACGTCCGGATCTAGCTGCTGCAGTGGGATCATTATCCCAGTTCTCGTCCGACCCATGCCCGACTCACTGGCAAGCTTTGAAGCGTGTGCTGAGATACCTGCAAGCAACGCCCAATCATGGTCTTGAGTTTACACGTGAAGAAGGAAGCCGTATCTGCGGGTACACCGACGCAGACTGGGCCGGCGACATTGAGTCAAGACGAAGTACAAGCGGCTATGTGTTCATGATGAGCGGAGGATGCATCAGCTGGAAAAGCCAGAAACAACGGACGGTCGCGCTATCTTCAACAGAAGCAGAATACATGGCGCTTTCCGAAGCAACCAAAGAAGCAGTATGGCTCAAAGTGCTTTTGGGGGAACTTGGTGAGATGACAAGCGACGAAGCGATCAAGATGTATGAAGACAACCAAGGATCAATCGCTCTCGCCAAGAACCCGGAGTTCCATAAGAGAACAAAACACATCGACATACGCTACCATTTTGTGCGTGAGAAGGTGGAATCAGGTGAAGTCGTTTTGGAGTATTGCCCGACTCAAGATATGCTGGCAGACATGATGACCAAGCCGATCGCCGCTGTACAATTTGAAAACATTCGCGATCGACTTGGGATCCAAGGTGCCGCAGCTAACGAGTCGAGAGGGAGTGTTGAAAAGACAGCGGCTGTAAAGAAGACACCTCGTCAAGCTGCGTCAAGTGTTGAAGCAAGTGGAAGACCAAGCTTCGCTATACCGGTGGGTACCGGTATGTACCAGTAAGGGCGAAGTCAGGAAATGACGTCACTGGATGACGTCATTGCATGACGTCAGTGGGTGACGTCAGTGGGTGACGTCACTGGATGACGTCACTGCGAATAATAGGCTTAGAGGTAGTATTCAAAGTTGCGAACTAAGTACCTATTATAAATATATATTCACTTTGCGTTTTGCACTCGGACCAGGAAGTCTAAAGTTCATCAGGTGCTCCAGTGAGTTGGTCCAGCAAGAAGCAGCCAAGTGTGTCACTGTCTGCAATTGAAGCGGAGTACATTGCGCTTGAGTCTGGCGATTCAAGAAGGCAAGTGGATCCACTGCTTACTATGCGAGATCATGGCGGCTACTGACGAGGACAGACCCGAGCTCATGATCCGTGAAGACGAATAGCCTTGCATCAAATGACCTAGAATCCAGTCAATCACGGCCGCGCCATACACATTGATATCAAGTACCACCACACTCGCGGTGAAGTGAAGCTTAAATACTGCAAAACGACGGTGATGATGGCCGACATTATGACCAAGGGACTTCACCGACCGCGCCACATGGAATTAACGGCGGCGCTAGGCATCTGTCCGCGTTCGGATTGAGGGGGCGTGTTGACGGTCATCGGTTTTCTACCAGTATTGGTAACCGTGACCGGTTCAATCCGAACCACCTGCTCAGCTTATTATTTACGACGTAGTTCTTACGATAATAATCCATAGTTGGTCAGACGAGTAAGATGACGAGAAGCTTCACATAATTTACATGTACACTGTTAATTTCTGAAGAGCACTGGACGAGAGAACGAAGCTTGAAGAACGCTGAAGAAGTCTGCACTGCGAAGTGTATACGACTTGTGCTGAAGAAGGAATATTTGGAAGTGAATTTATTTGTGCGTTTTGTTAAAGCTACCTGATTTATCTCTGCACTGATTTATATGTTGTCCACATATAAATCATGAATCATAAATCATGTAGGTCATCCAATCATCCTATGCGTCTAATCATTGGTAAAAACTCACCGTAATTACGCGGGATCGACTTGGACAGGATTACGGTTCCCATGGTAGCTGATAGCAGTACCTCAACCGTCAACCCACAATACGCCCCCTCAATGCGAACACGCGTGTATGCCGAGCGCTGCCGTCAAGTCCTTGTGACGCGGTCCTGGCAGTCCCTTCGTCATGATGTCCGCCAACATGATCGTAGTCTCACAGTACTCCAACTTGACATCACCACGCTTGACTTCATCACGAATGTGGTGGTACTTGATGTCGATGTGCTTGGCCCGACCATGGTTGACGGGATTCTTCGTCATCTTGATGCAGGACTGGTTGTCTTCCATGATCTTGAGCTCGGGTCCAGACTTGTCCTTGCGGCATCCAGAATCTCGCACAGCAATCGATGCACCCACTTGCCTTCCTGAATCGCTAATCTGATTGCAATGTACTCAGCTTCGCTCGTTGACAGCGACACACTTGACTGCTTCTTGCTTCCCCAGCTCACCGGAGCACCCATCAGGATAAACGCGTATCCTGAAGTCGACTTGCGGTCTGCATGGTCGCCGGCCCAGTCTGCATCCGAGTAGCCACAGAAGTCTATCTTGTCATCAGGCTTGAAACAGATACCGTGCGACTTAGTCCCTTGTAAGTATCGCAAAATGCGCTTGACCGCCATCCAATGCTCGACTTGGGGGTTCTCCATGAAGCGCGAAACGTAACTCACAGCAAAGGCAATGTCCGGTCGTGTCGCGGTCATCAAGTGCATCAGAGCGCCTACTGCTTCACGAAACGGGGCGTCGATTTTAGTTGCTGCGGTACTTGGTATGAGTCGAGAACTGATGTCTGTTGGGCTGGTGACGGCTTTGCAGTCGCTCATGCCAAAACGCTTGAGAACATCTTCCACGTAGCGTCGCTGGCACATCGTCACGCTACCGTCGTCGTTGTCCACCAGCTCGATGCCCAACACGAATGCGTACTTCCCACTGTCGGTCATTTCGAAACGTGCCTTTAAGTCACTCTTGGTGCGCATAATCAGTTCGGTTGAGCTGCCAGTCACCAACACATCATCGACGTATACCAGCAAAAGCACGCACTCGCCACTTGCAATCTTGAGATAAAGACACGGGTCAAAATCGGATACTTTAAATCCAATGGAGCAGACGAACTCATGAAAAGTCTCGTTCCATACGCGCGATGCTTGTTTTAGTCCGTAGATCGCCTTGACCAGTTCAAAGCAGTCAAAGTCTTCATCAACTTCGACTCCTTCTGGGATCGCGCAGAATACCTTTTCCTTCATTTCTCCGTAAAGGAAAGCTGTCACCACGTCCAGTTGGTCCAGTGTCCAGCCAAAGTACCTCGTGATTGCAACCACCATGCGCAGCGTCACGTACTTGACTACCGGCGAAAACGTTTCCGTGTAGTCGATGCCATATTTCTGCTTGAACCCTTTTGCCACGAGGCGCGCCTTGTATTTCTCGATGGATCCATCAGCTTTCCGTTTGATCTTGAATACCCACTTGGTGCCAATGGTATGCTGTCCAGACGGCAGTTTGGTCGCTCGAAACACGCCACGAAGTTTCATCGAGTCCAACTCGGCACAGATTGCCTTACGCCAATGCACTTGATCTGGTCCACCAACAGCATCTCCAAACGTTGTCGGCTCAGACAAGTCAGAACCTTCGACTGCATTGGCACTCGCTCGCCAAAAGACTTGAGGTGTAGCATCCTCGTTATCTTCGTCACTGCCCTTTTGCTCTTCGTCCAGATTGTCTCGAGCGCTTGATCGTCGCTTCGCTTGGTGCGATTCAGAGTCATCCGGGGCACTTGCTTCTTCTAACCCGGTTCCACGACGCTCAAGAAGTGTCCGTTGTAGAACTTGTTCTTGACTGTTTGAACGGCTTTTGCGTTTTCCAGTTTGCTTGAACTGCATGGGGTGAGGCTCATCGCTGATGTTCATCGATTCGATATCCAGCGCAGTGTCATCAACAATTTCTTGTGGTAGCATCGGCGAGAAACCAAGCGTTGATTCGTCGAATGTGACATCGCGAGATATCACCACTTGGTCCGCTTCAATGTCGTAAACGCGATATGCCTTTGACACTTCTTCGTACCCCATGAATAGTCCTTCACGAGCCTTTGGATCCCATTTCGATCTCTTTTCCTCAGTGTAAAAAGTAGAAGTTAAGTAAAGTAAATCACTTTTATATTACCGCGCACCAGACGCGTTTCGGCCCCCCGCCGGGGGCCTCATCAGTGGTTTGTCAATCTACAAGTGAGAACTACCCATACGTCTAGCTGCCGTACGACCTATAATAATGCATAGAACCCTAAAGAACATTCTAGACATACCCTATCATGGGTCGAATCTCTGGAGTCGAATCCAGTGCATCATGCACTTACAACACTTAGGGGTCAGCACAAACGTTCGGCAGCTGAAAACCCGCATGTGCTTCACACTTGGTCGAAATCCGTTGACGATCTCGAACGGGGTTTAATCTTGGCACTTGGGCGATGGTAGGCGATTCTTGATGTAGATTGCCGTCATTGCTGCTTCAGCCCAAAAACACTTGTCCAGCTTGGCGTAGTGAAGCATGCTGCGCCCGATCGTCACAATAGTCCGAATTGCCCGTTCCGCCGTGCCGTTGGTCTGATGCGCATATGGAACGGTAACTTGCTGCTCGATTCCTTGATCATCGTAAAATGCCTTGAGCGAATTTGCCGCAAATTCTCGTGCACCATCGTGTCGAACGAACTTGACCTTGTAGTCTGTTGAGTGGTGAAGAGCTTGACGACCGAATCTGGGAGGGATGCTGAGCGTCCACTCGGAAGACCGGAGAATACACTTGGGGTAGATGGAAGATTGGAAAGTGATTGATTATCGGGGCTTACTACTTACTACATGATTTATATGTGGTGCACATATAAATCATGTGAAGCGTCTCATCATCCTACGCGTCTAATCAACTATGGTAATTACCGTAAGAACTACGTCGTAAATACCAAGCTGAACAGGCGGTTCCGGATTGGACCGGTCACGGTTACCAATACTGGTAGAAACCGATGACCGTCAACACGCCCCCTCAATCCGAACTCGCACGAATGCCGAGAGCCGTCGTCAAGTCCTTGTGACGAGGTCCCGAAAGTCCCTTGGTCATGATGTCCGCCATCATCACGGAAGTCTCGCAATACTCGAGCTGCACTTCACCGCGCTTGACCTCATCACGGATGTGATGGTACTTGATGTCGATGTGCTTGGCGCGGCCATGATTCACCGGATTCTTCGTCATCTTGATGCACGACTGGTTGTCTTCACGGATGACGAGGTCCGGTCCTGGTTCGTTTGCGGCCGCCAAAATCTCGCATAGCAGGCGATGCACCCACTTGCCTTCCTGGATGGCCAGACTCAGTGCGATTTATTCCGCTTCACTCGTCGACAGCGACACACTTGACTGCTTCTTGCTTCCCCAACTCACAGGAGCACCCATCAGCATGAAAGTGTAACCCGAAGTCGACTTGCGATCAGCGTGGTCGCCGGCCCAGTCCGCGTCCGAGTAGCCACGAAAGTCGATCTTGTCGCTTGGCTGGAAGCGGAGTCCGTGTGACTTGGTCCCTTGCAAGTAACGAAAGATGCGCTTCACCGCCGTCCAATGTTCTTGCTGCGGATTCTCCATGGAGCGCGAGACGTACCCCACAGCATACGCAATGTCCGGGCGCGTCGCAGTCGTCAAGTGCATCAAAGCTAGCTCCCACAGCTTTACGAAACGGAACGTTGATCTTGGCCGCTTCGGTGCTTGCGACAAGCCGAGTGCTCAAGTCGACCGGACTTGCTGTGGCCTTGCACTCATCCATGCCGAAGCGCTTGAGGATGTCGTTGACATACCGTCGCTGGCACATCGTCACGCTGCCATCCGATTCGTCCACCAGTTCGATGCCCAGTACAAAAGTACACTTGCCACTGTCGGTCATCTCGAAACGCGTCTTGAGGTCGGCCTTCGTCTGCGCAATCAACTCGAGCGAGCTGCCGGTGACCAACACGTCATCCACGTAGACCAGCACGAGCACACAGTGACCGTCGACAACCTTGATGTAGAGACATGGGTCGAACGCCGACGCTTCGAAACCGATAGAGCATACGAACTCGTCGAAAGTCTCGTTCCACACACGTGAAGCTTGCTTGAGACCGTAGATCGCCTTCACCAACTCGAGACAGTCGAAGTCGCCATCCATCTCGACGCCTTCTGGTACCACGCAGTACACCTTCTCCTTCATCACTCCGTAGAGAAAGGCTGTCACCACATCGAGTTGGTCCAGTGGCCAGTCGAAATACTTGGTGATCGCGATCACCATACGCAGTGTCACGTACTTGACCACGGGCAAGAACGTCTCTGTGTAGTCGATGCCGTACTTCTGCTTGAAGCCCTTGGCAACGAGACGCGCCTTGTATTTCTCGACCGATCCATCCGCTTTGCGCTTGATCTTGAACACCCACTTGGTGCCGATCGCGCCTTGGCCTCTTGGTAGTTTTGCCGCACGGAAAACTCCACGAAGATGCATCGACTTGAGTTCCGCCTTCACAGCATTTCGCCAGTGAGCTTGATCAGGACCATTGATCGCGTCTTGAAAAGTCACAGGTTCTGCTAGGTCCGTTGCTTCCACTGCGTTTGCGCTTGCACGCCAAAATGTTGGAGGTGTCGAGTCGTCATCTTGATCGTAGACGCTTGTATCTTCTTCGTCATCAGACATCGTTTCTGGAGCACTTGATCGTCGTTTCTGGTGACGGTTGGAGACGTGTGCCGGCGCACTTGCTTGTTCCAACCCAGTTCGAGGGCGAGCTGAACGTGACATGCCGGGTCTTGCTTCACTCTTGCGCTTGCCAGTCTGCTTGTAGACGGTTTGACGCACGTCGTCCTCGTTGATCGCCAGGAGGTCGAGGTCCAACTCCGCATCTTCATCATCGTCACTTGGTCGGTCCATCGAAAAGTCAAAAGTCGATTCGTCGAAGGTGATGTCACGACTAATCACCACTTGGTCCGCCTCAATGTCGTAAACTCGATACGCTTTTAAAACTTCTTCGTATCCCATGAACATCCCTTCACGAGCTTTCGGGTCCCACTTCAATCGCTTCTCCCTTGGTGTCAGGATAAACGCCCGACATCCAAACACGCGCATGTGCTTGACACTTGGTTTCGACTTGTACACGATCTCGAACGGAGTCTTGTGGTCGATCTTGGGTGACGGTAGGCGGTTCTTGATGTAAATCGCAGCCATTGACGCTTCACCCCAGAAACACTTCTCCGGTTTTGCATGATGCAACAAGCTGCGTCCGATCGTGACGATGGTCCTTATCGCGCGTTCTGCGGTGCCGTTGGTCTGGTGTGCATACGGCACCGTGACCTGTTGTTCGATACCATGATCTTCGTAGAAGGTCTTGATGGAGTTGGTCGCAAACTCATGCGCTCCATCGTGCCGAACAAACTTGATCTTCGTGCCGAACTGAGTCTGAATCTTGATGATGTGGTTCTTGATACAGTCTTCACTCTCAGACTTGGACCGCAGACAGAAGCCCTTCATGCAACCGCTAGCTTCGTCAACCACAAGCAGTAAGTATCTGCTGCCGCCGATCGAGACTTGTTCCATTGGCCCGTAGATGTCGAAGTGCAGCAACTCGAACACACCATATTGGCGTTTGTCACGGTTGGTTGGGAATGGTTTTTGGACCATCTTTCCTTGCTGGCAACCGCGACACACACTTGGACCAGTCGAGTTGAGAGGTGCCTTGGCGTCCTTGATCATGCCAGTGGCCACCATCTTGCGCAGAACTTCGAGGGGTGCATGACCCATGCGCGCATGCAAGTCGATGGTCCCATTGCGTGTTGCTGCATTTGCCGATCGTTAAGGAGTCCGCAGCCAGTAAAGTCCATCGACGAGATCCGCTGTTGCCACGACTTGTGTGGAATTCTTGCGCTTCACTTGCATCTTGGATCCATCGAACACGACTTGGAACCTGCCAACCTTGTTGATCTGTGGCACCGAAAGCAGATTCTTGCTCACGCTTGGTACGAACAGCGCGTCCTTGATCTCGATGTCGCGTTCGTCACCATTGGGCAGAACCACCCGTTCCATGATGGTTCCCACACCCTTGATCGCAGCCTTGCTGCCATCAGCCACTGATAGTTCACCTTCCTCTCGCTCATTCAGGCTTGCAAACTTGGCCTTGTCGTTGCAGATGTGATGCGTCGCACCACTGTCGACTGCCCACATCCCTGGCATATTCTTGCCCGTCGAAAGTCCAGTTTACAGCGAAACCGCGAACGCAACTCGATCGTAGTTGTCGTCGTTGTTGTTGTTGTTGGTTCGCCACTGAACTTTGTTGGCTCCGCGTCCACGAGCATTGTTGCCGCCGCGTCGAGCTCCACCTTGATTTTCGTCCTTCTGCTTGGTTCAGCACTTTTCCACCGTGTGCCCCAATTTTCCGCAGAACGTACACTGACGAACCTCACGCTCGGTATTGAAGGCCTTGGTCGCTTCTTCAGTTTTCACCGATGTCGTCTTTTTCCCTTGTCTCTTGATGTGCTCATTCGTCAGCACTTTCACGACGTCTTGCGTCCGCAGTTCCGCGCTGCTCATCTCCAAGTTCAGCACGACGTTCTCGTAGCTCTTGGGGAGGCTGTGTTGAAAAGACAGCAGCTGTGAAGAAGACACCTCGTCAAGCTGCGTCAAGTGTTGAAGCAAGTGGAAGACCAAGCTTCGCTATACCGGTGGGTACCGGTATGTACCAGTAAGGGCGAAGTCAGGAAATGACGTCACTGGATGACGTCATTGCATGACGTCAGTGGGTGACGTCAGTGGGTGACGTCACTGGATGACGTCACTGCGAATAATAGGCTTAGAGGTAGTATTCAAAGTTGCGAACTAAGTACCTATTATAAATATATATTTACTTTGCGTTTTGCACTCGGACCAAGAAGTCTAAAGTGTTGAAAAGACAGCGGCTGTGAAGAAGACACCTCGTCAAGCTGCGTCAAGTGTTGAAGCAAGTGGAAGACCAAGCTTCGCTATACCGGTGGGTACCGGTATGTACCAGTAAGGGCGAAGTCAGGAAATGACGTCACTGGATGACGTCATTGCATGACGTCAGTGGGTGACGTCAGTGGGTGACGTCACTGGATGACGTCACTGCGAATAATAGGCTTAGAGGTAGTATTCAAAGTTGCGAACTAAGTACCTATTATAAATATATATTCACTTTGCGTTTTGCACTCGGACCAAGAAGTCTAAAGTTCATCAGGTTATGAGCCCAAGTTCGTCAGACTCTGAAACCGCCAACAATTCAAGCTTAGCTGCCATGGACGCCTCCTCCCTCCGCATCTCCAAGTTCGATGGAACTAACTTCCACGCCTGGAAGTTCAAGATGCAGATGGTGCTGGAGGAACGGGACCTATGGGAGGTCGTCAGCGGTGAGATCAAGGCGGAACAGTGCGAGACTCAGTTGGACCAAGCGACGTACAAGAGGAAGTCAAGAAAGGCGATGGCAGTGATCTGTCTAGCCATGGAAGATTCCCAGCTACCGTTGGTCCGGTCGGCAAGTGGTGCATGCGACGCATGGTCAAGGTTGGAAGACCACTTCGAGAAGAAGAGTCTTGCCAACAAGCTGTTCTTGCGCCGTCGCTTCTTCACGACAATGATGGAAGAAGGCGACGATGTGCTCGAACACATCAACAAGCTCAAGACGCTGGCGGAACAGCTAGAAGCGGTGGGGGGGCTCCAGTCTGCGAGGACGATCTGGTGATCACACTTCTCGGCAGCCTGAGTGACTCGTATCAATTCTTGATCACAGCTTTGGAGTCGCGCTCAGACACTCTTAGCTGGGAGCTCGTGACGTCTCGACTGCTTCATGAAGAAATGAAGCGGAAGGAGCAAGGAAGTAAAGGTGATGAAGCTTCGCAAGGTCAAGCGTTCATCACAAGGGACAATCAGCGCAAAGGGCGACCAGTGAAGAAGTCCTGGCCGTGCCACAATTGCGGAAAGATTGGTCACTGGATGGCGGAGTGCCCCTCGCGCATCCAAGAAAACACGGAGAGACACCGGCCACAGCGTGCTCAAGACAGCGGCGACCGCTATCGATCACAACGTGCAAACGTCGCTCAAGAAGAAGACTCGGGCGACTACCTCTTTTCGATCGGTGAAACGACATCTGCGAAATCGAGCGACATCTGGCTGGTCGACTCCGGGGCGACGCAGCACATGACGTGCTCCAAGAAGTTCATGCGGAACTACAAGGGGTTTGACGCTGTGGATGTCCATCTCGCGGATGATGGAATCGTCCAAGCAATCGGCAGTGGGGACATTGTCATGTCGATGAAGACACCCCAAGGGATGAAGAAAGGTGTGCTCACAAACGTGTGGCACATCCCAAAGTTATCCAGAAACCTGTTCTCGGTCGACCGCTTCACCAAGGATGTCGGCCCAGTGACGTTCACGAAGGATGGGTGCTATGGAGAAGCGAAAGGGACCAAGTGGAAAATTGGTGCCCGTGAAGGTAAAGGACTGTTCAAGCTGCAAATGACTCCAGTGGCGCCGGAACAAGCAAATGCAGCCAAGTCGTCGGGATGTCAAGGGGGCACCAAGTCGTACCTCTGGCACCTTCGGCTTGGCCACATAGGTCACGATGGACTCAATTGCATCGTGACGAAGAACATTGGAATTGGCATCGACATATCTTCGGTGAAGAAGTGGGACGTGTGTGAAGGTTGTGCTCTGGGAAAACAGACTCGAGTGCGCTTCCAATCAAACACTACAGCTCGCACCTCCAAACTCCTCGAAGTGATTCACAGCGACGTATGCGGACCGATGTCGATGGCAACTTTCAGTGGAAAACGGTACTTCGTGACATTCATTGATGACAAGTCAAGATACTGTGTCGTCTATCTGCTCAAGAGCAAATCTGAAGTTGCGGCGAAGTTCATGGAATACGCTGCGATGGCCGAAACGCAAACCGGAAAGCGCGTGAAGTACCTTCAAAGCGACAATGGGGGTGAATACAAGTCCGACAAGCTGGCACGATTCTGCGCGGAACGGGGAATACAACAAAGGTTCACACCCCCATATACTCCTCAGCTAAACGGAGTAGCTGAGAGAATGAATCGCACGCTGGTCGAGTGTGCGCGTTGCATGATGGAACACGCTGGACTGGGAAAGAGCTACTGGGGTGAAGCAGTGATGACGGCGATGTTTCTTCGAAACCGCTGTCCAACACGTGCCATTCACCAAGACAAGTCTCCATATCAAGTGTGGACGATGAAGAAACCGATTCTGGCCAACCTTAAAGTGTTTGGATGCCACGCGTATGTTCAAGTGCCTCAAGACAAACGCGCGAAGTTCGACTCCAAGTCATCACTCTGTCGTTTCCTGGGATACGTCGAACACCAGAAGTCATATCGATTTGAGGAAGTGTCAACAGGAGCGATCAAGATCAGTCGCGATGCCACATTCATGGAAGACAAGTTTGATGAAGGTCCGCGCAACTACAACGATGAGTCAAGTGTCGTTGAGTTTGATGATCATGATGAGGACGAAGAAAAAGAAGAAGGTAAAACTGACGACGACATGGACTCGAGCGACGATGACAACGAAGACACCAGGTCTTCGAAGAGCAACATCAAGAGACACACGCGCACTCAATCACTTGAGAAAGCTACCTGATGAACTTTAGACTTCTTGGTCCGAGTGCAAAACGCAAAGTGAATATATATTTATAATAGGTACTTAGTTCGCAACTTTGAATACTACCTCTAAGCCTATTATTCGCAGTGACGTCATCCAGTGACGTCACCCACTGACGTCACCCACTGACGTCATGCAATGACGTCATCCAGTGACGTCATTTCCTGACTTCGCCCTTACTGGTACATACCGGTACCCACCGGTATAGCGAGGCTTGGTCTTCCACTTGCTTCAACACTTGACGCAGCTTGACGAGGTGTCTTCTTCACAGCCGCTGTCTTTTCAACACTCCCTCTCGACTCGTTAGCTGCGGCACCTTGGATCCCAAGTCGATCGCGAATGTTTTCAAATTGTACAGCGGCGATCGGCTTGGTCATCATGTCTGCCAGCATATCTTGAGTCGGGCAATACTCCAAAACGACTTCACCTGATTCCACCTTCTCACGCACAAAATGGTAGCGTATGTCGATGTGTTTTGTTCTCTTATGGAACTCCGGGTTCTTGGCGAGAGCGATTGATCCTTGGTTGTCTTCATACATCTTGATCGCTTCGTCGCTTGTCATCTCACCAAGTTCCCCCAAAAGCACTTTGAGCCATACTGCTTCTTTGGTTGCTTCGGAAAGCGCCATGTATTCTGCTTCTGTTGAAGATAGCGCGACCGTCCGTTGTTTCTGTCTTTTCCAGCTGATGCATCCTCCGCTCATCATGAACACATAGCCGCTTGTACTTCGTCTTGACTCAATGTCGCCGGCCCAGTCTGCGTCGGTGTACCCGCAGATACGGCTTCCTTCTTCACGTGTAAACTCAAGACCATGGTTGGGCGTTGCTTGCAGGTATCTCAGCACACGCTTCAAAGCTTGCCAGTGAGTCGGGCATGGGTCGGACGAGAACTGGGATAATGATCCCACTGCAGCAGCTAGATCCGGACGTGTGGCGACCATGAGATACATGATGCCTCCGACAGCACTTCGATATGGCACGTTGCACATGGTGTCTTCGTGCTTGCATTCTTGTTCACACATGTTCTTGGTTAGCTTCAGGCCGGGATCTTGAGGCGTCTTCACTGGCTTGCTGTTATCCATTCCGAACTTGGTTAACACGGACTTGAGAAACTTGGTTTGTTGTACGGTCACCATTCCCGTCTTACGGTCGTTCTTGATCTCCATGCCGAGAAAGTAATCGAGCTCACCGAGATCCGTCATTTCGAAGCGTTTGCTCAGCGCCATCTTGGTTGACTTGAGGAGTTCGTTGTTGCTGCTGGCCAGGATGAGATCATCGACGTAGAGCACCACGAGAATCATGTCTTGGTCGTCTCGCTTGATGTAGATGCAGTGGTCCGATTCGCACTTCTTGAATCCCATCTTGATCATGAACCCATCGATTGTTTGGTTCCACATGCGAGGCGATTGCTTCAAGCCGTAGAGTGATCTCTTTAGCTTGCACACATAGTCCGGCTGTGTTGCATCCAGGTATCCGTCCGGCTGGTCCATGTAGATGTCTTCGTTGAGGGAGCCGTTAAGAAACGCTGTCTTGACGTCCATCTGATGTAGCATTAGGCCGTACTTAGCCGCCATACTGAGCACCACACGAATCGATGTGAACTTGGCCACCGGTGCGAAAGTTTCTTCATAGTCAACTCCGAATTTCTGTGAGAATCCTTTGGCCACAAGTCTTGCCTTGAAACGTTCAACTTCGCCATCTTGATTCTCCTTTACACGAAAAACCCATCGGCACCCGATGGCCTTGCGACCTTTCGGAAGAGGCACGATTTCCCACGTGTCGTTTCTCTGAAGCGAGTCGAACTCCGAGTCACACGCTTCTTTCCACTTGCCGGAGTCGCTTGATTCCATCGCCGACTTGAATGTAGTCGGCGTTTCCCCCACTGAATCAACGATGTAGGCTGCTTCAAAATCCATTGCAGCCGCTGACACATGCTCAAGCGACGGACCTCTGTATGTTCTTCGCTTGGGACTTGGAATGACGGTAGCTTTCTCAAGTGATTGAGTGCGCGTGTGTCTCTTGATGTTGCTCTTCGAAGACCTGGTGTCTTCGTTGTCATCGTCGCTCGAGTCCATGTCGTCGTCAGTTTTACCTTCTTCTTTTTCTTCGTCCTCATCATGATCATCAAACTCAACGACACTTGACTCATCGTTGTAGTTGCGCGGACCTTCATCAAACTTGTCTTCCATGAATGTGGCATCGCGACTGATCTTGATCGCTCCTGTTGACACTTCCTCAAATCGATATGACTTCTGGTGTTCGGCGTATCCCAGGAAACGACAGAGTGATGACTTGGAGTCGAACTTCGCGCGTTTGTCTTGAGGCACTTGAACATACGCGTGGCATCCAAACACTTTAAGGTTGGCCAGAATCGGTTTCTTCATCGTCCACACTTGATATGGAGACTTGTCTTGGTGAATGGCACGTGTTGGACAGCGGTTTCGAAGAAACATCGCCGTCATCACTGCTTCACCCCAGTAGCTCTTTCCCAGTCCAGCGTGTTCCATCATGCAACGCGCACACTCGACCAGCGTGCGATTCATTCTCTCAGCTACTCCGTTTAGCTGAGGAGTATATGGGGGTGTGAACCTTTGTTGTATTCCCCGTTCCGCGCAGAATCGTGCCAGCTTGTCGGACTTGTATTCACCCCCATTGTCGCTTTGAAGGTACTTCACGCGCTTTCCGGTTTGCGTTTCGGCCATCGCAGCGTATTCCATGAACTTCGCCGCAACTTCAGATTTGCTCTTGAGCAGATAGACGACACAGTATCTTGACTTGTCATCAATGAATGTCACGAAGTACCGTTTTCCACTGAAAGTTGCCATCGACATCGGTCCGCATACGTCGCTGTGAATCACTTCGAGGAGTTTGGAGGTGCGAGCTGTAGTGTTTGATTGGAAGCGCACTCGAGTCTGTTTTCCCAGAGCACAACCTTCACACACGTCCCACTTCTTCACCGAAGATATGTCGATGCCAATTCCAATGTTCTTCGTCACGATGCAATTGAGTCCATCGTGACCTATGTGGCCAAGCCGAAGGTGCCAGAGGTACGACTTGGTGCCCCCTTGACATCCCGACGACTTGGCTGCATTTGCTTGTTCCGGCGCCACTGGAGTCATTTGCAGCTTGAACAGTCCTTTACCTTCACGGGCACCAATTTTCCACTTGGTCCCTTTCGCTTCTCCATAGCACCCATCCTTCGTGAACGTCACTGGGCCGACATCCTTGGTGAAGCGGCCGACCGAGAACAGGTTTCTGGATAACTTTGGGATGTGCCACACGTTTGTGAGCACACCTTTCTTCATCCCTTGGGGTGTCTTCATCGACATGACAATGTCCCCACTGCCGATTGCTTGGACGATTCCATCATCCGCGAGATGGACATCCACAGCGTCAAACCCCTTGTAGTTCCGCATGAACTTCTTGGAGCACGTCATGTGCTGCGTCGCCCCGGAGTCGACCAGCCAGATGTCGCTCGATTTCGCAGATGTCGTTTCACCGATCGAAAAGAGGTAGTCGCCCGAGTCTTCTTCTTGAGCGACGTTTGCACGTTGTGATCGATAGCGGTCGCCGCTGTCTTGAGCACGCTGTGGCCGGTGTCTCTCCGTGTTTTCTTGGATGCGCGAGGGGCACTCCGCCATCCAGTGACCAATCTTTCCGCAATTGTGGCACGGCCAGGACTTCTTCACTGGTCGCCCTTTGCGCTGATTGTCCCTTGTGATGAACGCTTGACCTTGCGAAGCTTCATCACCTTTACTTCCTTGCTCCTTCCGCTTCATTTCTTCATGAAGCAGTCGAGACGTCACGAGCTCCCAGCTAAGAGTGTCTGAGCGCGACTCCAAAGCTGTGATCAAGAATTGATACGAGTCACTCAGGCTGCCGAGGAGTGTGATCACCAGATCGTCCTCGCAGACTGGAGCCCCCACCGCTTCTAGCTGTTCCGCCAGCGTCTTGAGCTTGTTGATGTGTTCGAGCACATCGTCGCCTTCTTCCATCATTGTCGTGAAGAAGCGACGGCGCAAGAACAGCTTGTTGGCAAGACTCTTCTTCTCGAAGTGGTCTTCCAACCTTGACCATGCGTCGCATGCACCACTTGCCGACCGGACCAACGGTAGCTGGGAATCTTCCATGGCTAGACAGATCACTGCCATCGCCTTTCTTGACTTCCTCTTGTACGTCGCTTGGTCCAACTGAGTCTCGCACTGTTCCGCCTTGATCTCACCGCTGACGACCTCCCATAGGTCCCGTTCCTCCAGCACCATCTGCATCTTGAACTTCCAGGCGTGGAAGTTAGTTCCATCGAACTTGGAGATGCGGAGGGAGGAGGCGTCCATGGCAGCTAAGCTTGAATTGTTGGCGGTTTCAGAGTCTGACGAACTTGGGCTCATAACCTGATGAACTTTAGACTTCTTGGTCCGAGTGCAAAACGCAAAGTGAATATATATTTATAATAGGTACTTAGTTCGCAACTTTGAATACTACCTCTAAGCCTATTATTCGCAGTGACGTCATCCAGTGACGTCACCCACTGACGTCACCCACTGACGTCATGCAATGACGTCATCCAGTGACGTCATTTCCTGACTTCGCCCTTACTGGTACATACCGGTACCCACCGGTATAGCGAGGCTTGGTCTTCCACTTGCTTCAACACTTGACGCAGCTTGACGAGGTGTCTTCTTCACAGCCGCTGTCTTTTCAACACTACCGTCATTCCAAGTCCCAAGCGAAGAACATACAGAGGTCCGTCGCTTGAGCATGTGTCAGCGGCTGCAATGGATTTTGAAGCAGCCTACATCGTTGATTCAGTGGGGGAAACGCCGACTACATTCAAGTCGGCGATGGAATCAAGCGACTCCGGCAAGTGGAAAGAAGCGTGTGACTCGGAGTTCGATTCGCTTCAGAGAAACGACACGTGGGAAATCGTGCCTCTTCCGAAAGGTCGCAAGGCCATCGGGTGCCGATGGGTTTTTCGTGTAAAGGAGAATCAAGATGGCGAAGTTGAACGTTTCAAGGCAAGACTTGTGTCCAAAGGATTCTCACAGAAATTCGGAGTTGACTATGAAGAAACTTTCGCACCGGTGGCCAAGTTCACATCGATTCGTGTGGTGCTCAGTATGGCGGCTAAGTACGGCCTAATGCTACATCAGATGGACGTCAAGACAGCGTTTCTTAACGGCTCCCTCAACGAAGACATCTACATGGACCAGCCGGACGGATACCTGGATGCAACACAGCCGGACTATGTGTGCAAGCTAAAGAGATCACTCTACGGCTTGAAGCAATCGCCTCGCATGTGGAACCAAACAATCGATGGGTTCATGATCAAGATGGGATTCAAGAAGTGCGAATCGGACCACTGCATCTACATCAAGCGAGACGACCAAGACATGATTCTCGTGGTGCTCTACGTCGATGATCTCATCCTGGCCAGCAGCAACAACGAACTCCTCAAGTCAACCAAGATGGCGCTGAGAAAACGCTTCGAAATGACGGATCTCGGTGAGCTCGATTACTTTCTCGGCATGGAGATCAAGAACGACCGTAAGACGGGAATGGTGACTGTACAACAAACCAAGTTTCTCAAGTCCGTGTTAACCAAGTTCGGAATGGATAACAGCAAGCACGAAGACACCATGTGCAACGTGCCATATCGAAGTGCTGTCGGAGGCATCATGTATCTCATGGTCGCCACACGTCCGGATCTAGCTGCTGCAGTGGGATCATTATCCCAGTTCTCGTCCGACCCATGCCCGACTCACTGGCAAGCTTTGAAGCGTGTGCTGAGATACCTGCAAGCAACGCCCAATCATGGTCTTGAGTTTACACGTGAAGAAGGAAGCCGTATCTGCGGGTACACCGACGCAGACTGGGCCGGCGACATTGAGTCAAGACGAAGTACAAGCGGCTATGTGTTCATGATGAGCGGAGGATGCATCAGCTGGAAAAGACAGAAACAACGGACGGTCGCGTTATCTTCAACAAAAGCAGAATACATGGCGCTTTCCGAAGCAACCAAAGAAGCAGTATGGCTCAAAGTGCTTTTGGGGGAACTTGGTGAGATGACAAGCGACGAAGCGATCAAGATGTATGAAGACAACCAAGGATCAATCGCTCTCGCCAAGAACCCGGAGTTCCATAAGAGAACAAAACACATCGACATACGCTACCATTTTGTGCGTGAGAAGGTGGAATCAGGTGAAGTCGTTTTGGAGTATTGCCCGACTCAAGATATGCTGGCAGACATGATGACCAAGCCGATCGCCGCTGTACAATTTGAAAACATTCGCGATCGACTTGGGATCCAAGGTGCCGCAGCTAACGAGTCGAGAGGGAGTGTTGAAAAGACAGCGGCTGTGAAGAAGACACCTCGTCAAGCTGCGTCAAGTGTTGAAGCAAGTGGAAGACCAAGCTTCGCTATACCGGTGGGTACCGGTATGTACCAGTAAGGGCGAAGTCAGGAAATGACGTCACTGGATGACGTCATTGCATGACGTCACTGGATGACGTCATTGCATGACGTCACTGGATGACGTCATTGCATGACGTCAGTGGGTGACGTCAGTGGGTGACGTCACTGGATGACGTCACTGCGAATAATAGGCTTAGAGGTAGTATTCAAAGTTGCGAACTAAGTACCTATTATAAATATATATTCACTTTGCGTTTTGCACTCGGACCAAGAAGTCTAAAGTTCATCAGGTAGCTTTCTCAAGTGATTGAGTGCGCGTGTGTCTCTTGATGTTGCTCTTCGAAGACCTGGTGTCTTCGTTGTCATCGTCGCTCGAGTCCATGTCGTCGTCAGTTTTACCTTCTTCTTTTTCTTCGTCCTCATCATGATCATCAAACTCAACGACACTTGACTCATCGTTGTAGTTGCGCGGACCTTCATCAAACTTGTCTTCCATGAATGTGGCATCGCGACTGATCTTGATCGCTCCTGTTGACACTTCCTCAAATCGATATGACTTCTGGTGTTCGGCGTATCCCAGGAAACGACAGAGTGATGACTTGGAGTCGAACTTCGCGCGTTTGTCTTGAGGCACTTGAACATACGCGTGGCATCCAAACACTTTAAGGTTGGCCAGAATCGGTTTCTTCATCGTCCACACTTGATATGGAGACTTGTCTTGGTGAATGGCACGTGTTGGACAGCGGTTTCGAAGAAACATCGCCGTCATCACTGCTTCACCCCAGTAGCTCTTTCCCAGTCCAGCGTGTTCCATCATGCAACGCGCACACTCGACCAGCGTGCGATTCATTCTCTCAGCTACTCCGTTTAGCTGAGGAGTATATGGGGGTGTGAACCTTTGTTGTATTCCCCGTTCCGCGCAGAATCGTGCCAGCTTGTCGGACTTGTATTCACCCCCATTGTCGCTTTGAAGGTACTTCACGCGCTTTCCGGTTTGCGTTTCGGCCATCGCAGCGTATTCCATGAACTTCGCCGCAACTTCAGATTTGCTCTTGAGCAGATAGACGACACAGTATCTTGACCTGTCATCAATGAATGTCACGAAGTACCGTTTTCCACTGAAAGTTGCCATCGACATCGGTCCGCATACGTCGCTGTGAATCACTTCGAGGAGTTTGGAGGTGCGAGCTGTAGTGTTTGATTGGAAGCGCACTCGAGTCTGTTTTCCCAGAGCACAACCTTCACACACGTCCCACTTCTTCACCGAAGATATGTCGATGCCAATTCCAATGTTCTTCGTCACGATGCAATTGAGTCCATCGTGACCTATGGTGGCCAAGCCGAAGGTGCCAGAGGTACGACTTGGTGCCCCCTTGACATCCCGACGACTTGGCTGCATTTGCTTGTTCCGGCGCCACTGGAGTCATTTGCAGCTTGAACAGTCCTTTACCTTCACGGGCACCAATTTTCCACTTGGTCCCTTTCGCTTCTCCATAGCACCCATCCTTCGTGAACGTCACTGGGCCGACATCCTTGGTGAAGCGGCCGACCGAGAACAGGTTTCTGGATAACTTTGGGATGTGCCACACGTTTGTGAGCACACCTTTCTTCATCCCTTGGGGTGTCTTCATCGACATGACAATGTCCCCACTGCCGATTGCTTGGACGATTCCATCATCCGCGAGATGGACATCCACAGCGTCAAACCCCTTGTAGTTCCGCATGAACTTCTTGGAGCACGTCATGTGCTGCGTCGCCCCGGAGTCGACCAGCCAGATGTCGCTCGATTTCGCAGATGTCGTTTCACCGATCGAAAAGAGGTAGTCGCCCGAGTCTTCTTCTTGAGCGACGTTTGCACGTTGTGATCGATAGCGGTCGCCGCTGTCTTGAGCACGCTGTGGCCGGTGTCTCTCCGTGTTTTCTTGGATGCGCGAGGGGCACTCCGCCATCCAGTGACCAATCTTTCCGCAATTGTGGCACGGCCAGGACTTCTTCACTGGTCGCCCTTTGCGCTGATTGTCCCTTGTGATGAACGCTTGACCTTGCGAAGCTTCATCACCTTTACTTCCTTGCTCCTTCCGCTTCATTTCTTCATGAAGCAGTCGAGACGTCACGAGCTCCCAGCTAAGAGTGTCTGAGCGCGACTCCAAAGCTGTGATCAAGAATTGATACGAGTCACTCAGGCTGCCGAGGAGTGTGATCACCAGAT